CTCCCCAGATTATCTCACATAGATGTCAAGAACTTGAACAGACCCATAGCAAAAGAAGAAATAGATGACGTTTTCAAGGAACTACCAACTAAAAAAAGGCTTGGCTCATATGGGTTCACAGGAGAATTCTACGGAGCATTCAGGGAAGAGCTGACACCAATTCTACACAAGCTCTTCCAGAACATGGAAAAGAACAGTAAACTCCTAAACACATTCTATGGAGCTAGTTTAACACTGATACCAAAACCAGACAAGAATCCGACAAGAATAGAGGACTATAGGCTGATATCTCTAATGAACCATGGTGCAAAAATCCTTAACAAAATCTTGGCCAATAGGATACAAAATATATAAAAAGAATAATTCATGATGACCAAGTAGGATTCATACCAGGGATGCATGGATGGTTCAACATTCAAAAATCCATCAACATTATCCAGCACATTGAGAAGAAAAAAAGGACAAGATCCACATGATGATATCAATAGATGCAGAAAAAAACATTTGATAACATTCAACACCCATTTCTAAGTAAGCCACTCAAGAAGATAGATCTGGGAGGAAATTATCTCAATATAATTAAAGTTATATATGAAAATCCAACAGTCAGCATCACAATCAATGGAGAAAAGTCAAAAACATCCCCACTGAAAAAGGGAATCAGACAAGGATGGTCCTAATTAATAATATAAGGAAACTGAAGGATATCATAGGTATACATCTGGGGAAAGAAGAAGTGAAATTATCATTATTTGCACATAATGTGATTTTATATATTGAGAACCCCCAAGGCTCCACAATAGGAGTGCTGAAAGTGATAGAGGAATATGGTAGAGTGGCAGAATACAGGATCAACAAACAGAAGTCAATTGGATTGCTATCTACAACTGATGGGATTACAGAAAGAGAGATCAAGAAGGTAATACCCTTCACAATAGGCAATATCTAGGGATATACCTAGCCCAAAAAACAAGATCTGTATGAGGAAAACTACAGAACATTATTACAAGAAGCCAAAAGGGACCTTCACAAATGAAAAATACCCCATGCTCTTGGATTGGTAAACTCAATATTGTAAAGTTGTCAATCCTACCTAAGGTTCTATATAGGTTCAATGCAATCCTGATACAAATACCAGCATTATTTTTTCAAAGAAATGGAAAAACTGACTACCAACTTCATATGGAAAGGGAAGAAACCCAGAAATGGCAAAGAACTCCTCAAGAAGAAGAATTAAATGAGTTGGCTTACATTACCTGACTTATTAAAACTTATTACTCAGGTACAGTTGTCAAAACAGCACGGTACTAATGATAGGTACTTGGACCAATGGCTAAGAACAGAAAAATCCAGAAATAAAAAGAGCAGAATATACAAACAACTTATTTTTGATAAGCCCCCCTCTCCACCAAAAAAACAAATGGGAAGCAGATGCCATTTTTAACAAATGATGCTGGAAAAAATGGATATCAACCTGCAGAAGAATGAACCCATACCCTTACCACATCCCAATTAAAAGGACAAATTCAATGTGGATCACAAACCTTGAGGTAAAACCCCAAACTATCAGAATCATAGAGGAAAAAAATTGGTACAAAGCTAAGAACCTTAGTGCACGGAATACATGGGCTATCAGCAATAATAAAGGATACACAACCAGAGGAAGAGAAAAAAGACATGTGGGACTTACTACAGATAAAAACTTGAGTGCATCAAAAGACTTCAAAAGAGTAATGAGAGAGCCCACAGACTGGGAAAAGATATTTAGTAATTACATATCAGACAAAGGTCTTATTATTAAAATCTGCAGACTCCTGCAACTTTACAATAAGAAAAACAAAAACAAAAAAAACGAATTGCCCACTGAGGAGGTGGACAAAAGACAGGAAGAGAAGATTCACAAAGGAGGAAGCCCAACGACCAATAAACATATGAGAAAATATTCCAAGTCATTAACCATCTGGGAAAAGCAAATCAAAACAACCACGAGATACCACCTAACACCCACATGGATAGCCAATTAAAAAAAAAACCAGAAAGCAACAAATGTGGAGGAAGCCAGATCCCCACAACTCAACACGGGTTCAGTAAGTGCAATTGTATGGTTGAGATATATAAAGATTATAATAAAGTCATAGAGAATGAGAGAGATAGAAAAATAAAGACGTCAGACACATTTCATAGTCGTATGCTCACCTCCTGGATGGCCATTATCTCAACAGCCTGGTCCATGCACAGCACGGGCCAAGAGGGCAGGGAGAACATGAGCGGGAGAGAGAGCAATTTATTGCTGACCAAGGCTTATATCTCTTTGGGGGTGTGCATACCTCCTAATTACAGGGAAAGCCATGTGTCACAGGAAGGGGTTGTACAATAGGCAATACAAGCAATAGGAGAGGGATGTACAATGGGCATAAGTGTAACAGGAAGGGGATGAGCTAGGGCTGTTCACATGATAGGAAGGGGAGGGACTAAAGGAATACATGTGACAAGATGGGAGAACCCTATATTCACGATGGCGGCCTAACCTTGGTCACTCTTGAGTGGGCTTGACCTCCCTGGGCTCTCCTTCAGGGAAACGATCTCCTACTATCCTTATCAGAAGGGAGTGGGCCCAACTTAGGATGGGACAGACTATATAGTCTGATTGTTTGAGATGGCTGGTAACCCTTAGGGAGAATAACCCCTGACCTACTTCTGTTGACCTCCAAGTGTGTAGTCATTTGCCACGTGTAGCAAGCAGCTAAGTTCGGCATATATTTGGGGGAGACAACTTGGAAGAAATCTTTCTGTTTCCCACAAATGTTGGAGGGGGCTGTGGTGAGATAGGAACTCTCATCCGCTGCTGGTAGTCTTAGAGATATGTGCAGCCACCGTGAAAAGTGATTTGGCAATACCTAAAACAGATGGAAATCGATTTCCCTTATGACCCAGCAATTCTATTACTGGGCATATAACCAGAAGAAATAAGAAGCAGGCCACATCTAGACATGTGCGCTCCAGTGTTCATCACTGCACAGTTCACATCACAAAGAATTAGAAACAGCCTATATTTCCATCAATAGATGAATGGATTTAAAAACTCTGGTATAATGATGAGGGCAATGAATGTACAAACGTGCTTTACACAATTGATGTGTGTATGGATAGTGATAAGAGTTGTATGAGCCCCTAATAAAATGATTAAAAAAATAAATAAAAAAACCCAACTCTGGTATATACACACAATGCGTTCTACGCATCTCTAAAAACAGTGATGAAATGATGAAGCACCTTATCCCAAGGAAAGAGTTGGAAGATATTATACGAAGCAAAGTTAGCCAAGCACAAAAGGACAAGTACAACATGAGCCCACTGACGTAAGTTCAAACAACAGAATAGGCATAGGGGAAAATGTACATATCGCACAGTTCCCAGGCCGAGGACCAGATACTCTGGCAAGAGCCAGCTCAAACACCATGAAGCACACATCATCAAAAAAAAGGAAAGAAAAAATTTAAAAGATGCAGATAGCACCTGTGCAGAAAGACATCTTCCACCCCCCACCCCCACCCTACCATATACCCTTACAGCCCACAGAGAGTTAAAAGAAAAAAGATGGCAATGGGAGAACAGGGCACTAATCCACCCAAGGGGAGGGTATTGTTTATGTCTCCACAGGAAAGGGAGTAGACCTCATTCTGGTGCCCCAAGCCTTTAGGGGGCTGCTCCTGCTTGGAGCAGCTCATTCACTGTAGGGCCTGCCTCAGCTCAAGACATGACATCCCTTCCCTAGACCACAGCACAACAGAGGATAGCACTGAAGACACATTTCAGGGAGTGGGGCCAGACTGATCCGCCCACATGGGGCAAGCCAAGAGGGAAGTGCAACAGATCAGCAATGGGAGAAAAGCCACAAAATCCCTCAGGAACCTCTATTGTAGATTTCTGACTTGGGCAGGCAGCTCACTTGGCTGCTGAACTGATTGGGGGATATTCATAGGGGGTCACACTGAACATCTAAAGGTGCAACAGGGTGGGAGGTGGGGTACTAGATCGCTCTATCCTTGACTGCAGGAAGAGGTGAGCCCCTCAGACTTGAATGCTGAGGACTAAAAGGATTTAAGTGCTGTCAGGTAAGCGGGTCCTGGGTTATGGATCCCTGAAAGAAAAGGGGCTTGGATGGAAGGATTATAAACAGGGCCTGCTGGCTATTAACAGAGGGATACTCATCTACTCTGGGTCAGGATAACAGACTTGGAACTATTTGGTTTTTTGTTTTTTTTTAATCACTGTGCAACCCATTTCAGTGCCTTAAGCCCACCAGGTAAAGCCAGGTAAGGGTTCGGGGAGACAGTTTGCTTTAGCATAGGACACTATGAGAGGCCCATGGGATCGGACCTGCCGCAAATCCAAACCCATGCACTGACTTGGAACTATTTGTATGGTCTCTCTCTTTTTTCTTTGATTCTTGGTATCTATCTATATAAGATAGGCAGGATAAGCAATCCCAAGGAGACAGCAATGGGACCAATGGTTCTGGGAGAAATGGGAAAGGAGGAGGGTGGGGAGGGGAGCAATAATCAAAGAATGACAGGGACAGGAGAATAGTAAGGGATCTAAAATTGATAGCGAGGTGGGTGTAACGTTCCTGGTCATGTTTGATCAATTGAAATGTATCAAGAGGAATTACTGAGAGTTGAATGATGGGTAAACATGATAGTGGGACAGGAGGAAAGAATAAGAAAGTAAAAATTATATATAGGTATAAATATAGATGGACTTTGGGCCTCTACTTAAATCTTACCACAGTACAAGAATGCTTTGTTCGAATAATGTGGCATTGTTTGACACTTCCCAACATGATTGCTGAAGACAAAATGGGTGCATAGCAAATGTGGTGAGGAAAGCTGATGGTGCCTGGCTATCAAAAGATATAGCATCTGGGGTCTTAAAGGCTTGAAGTTAAACAAGCAGCCACCTAGCAAGGAAGCAACAAAGCCCACATGGAAGAAGCACCCCAGCCAGTATGATCATGAGGTATTCACGAGAATAAGTATCAGAAATTCAAAAAACAAGAAATCAAATTGAAGTAAAGGAGCGTAGACGAAGTGGAGACCCCAGACTCACCAGTAATATAATTGGACAGTCCCTCACAGAAGGGCCACACAGAAGGGATGCTACCTCCAGGGTCCAGTACAGCACCGATGAAGCACATAAAGATCCTCTAGTTCTTCACTATTTCCTTCCTGTACTATTTTGGTCTTAGTTTCACCTCATTACACTTGTGAGACCTGTGTATGTTCATTTGTATAATTCGGCCGCTTGATTCATGATATCCAAGATATATAAACCTTTCAGAAATAGTAATGGGAGTAATGATTCCCTGAGGGTACTGGAAGAGAATGGGTGGACAGGGGGCAGGGACCTATAGCAATGATGACGGTATAACCCCATTTGAGAGGAATGAATAACAAAATTGTAGGTGAACAGATACATTGGATAGTGTGAGATATGGCAAATAATAAGATGTAATATAATAATAAGAGTTCTTGGGGGGTGGGATAGGGGAGGGAGGGGATAAAGGGGAACTGATATCAAAGAGTGTGAGAAGAAAGAAAATGATTGTGGCAGCAATTGTACAATTATGCTTGATGTAATAGAATTATGGATTGCTGTAATATCTGTAAGAGCTCACAATAAAATTATTCATTAAAAAAAATCCTCCAGATTCCTTCCCCATCAGACCTAAAACCTGGTCTGGGGGGCTATAGAAGGAAGAAAAGTAAAACTGAAACGACTTAAATTCTTTTGTGACACACAAGCCAGTTTCAAACAAACCAACAATATGTACTAGGACTTCATTTCTCCTCGTGTGCGGCTCCATTGTATGGATGCACCACTTTGCTTCTCTGTGCATCTGTTGGGAGACATTAGTAAGTCCTCACCTTTGGGCTGCTGTGAATATTGCAACAAAGACCAAAGCGAAGAACAAAGAGCAATGTTGCAAAGAACATAATCACCCTGCTTTCAAGTCTCGTGCAAGTCCGGGTATATACCTAGGAGTGGAATTGTTGGGCCCCGTGGTAGCTCTTAAGGAGCTCAGGTGACACAGTTGGGTAAACACAGGACCGATAACTGCAAGCTTGGAACTTCAAACCCACCAGCTTCTCAGCATGAGAAAGAGGAGATTGTGCCTGTAAAGATTTACAAATCCTTGGAAATTCTATATAGGATCACTGTGAGTCACTGTGGACTTGATGGCAGTGGGTTTTGTTTTGGTTTATGGTCATTCTTTGCTTAGCTTAATAATAACAACAACAACAAACACACCCTTCTATCCATTTTCTACAACAGCTGTACCATTTTATATTCCCATAAACACTGGCTTCTCTCTGGAGACAGAGCTTCCAGAGGGTTATCATCCAATAAAAATAAAGGACATCCTTTTATAATTAAACCCTGGGTTTGTGGTATATCCTATGCATCAGTTGAGATCTACTTTAAAATAAAATCTGGTCTTGGAAGAACTAAAGCCAAAATGCTACTTAGAAGCAAGGGGAGTGCGATTTCATCTCACGTACGTTGGGCAGGCTCTCAGGAGAGACCAGTCCCTGGAAAAGGACGCCCTGATTGGGAAAGTGGAGGGGCAAAGAAAAAGTGGGAGACCCTTGATAAGCTGATGGACACGGTGGCTCCAACCCCGGGTTCAAACATGAGAACAACCGTGAGGACGGCACACGACTGAGCGGTGTTTCACTCAGTTGGACACAGAGCCAGTACGAGTCAGACACAACTCAACAACACTTAACAAAGACACCACCACCAACAAAGTCACTCCTTGCTTACCGGAAATTGACACTTAACTGAGGAACTATATTTTGGTTGTCTGATACTGGTCCTGGATTTATCCTCGTCCGTAAAACAAAGCCTCTAGGAATGAGGGGCTTTGTGGAGTGGGGTAGACAAGCCAAAGGAAAAGCATCACTTCCCCTTCAGTGCCCACCACCCCCTGGCCTTTTTCTTCTTGTTTTGGAACTCAGTCTTGCAGTTGGCTCAGAGCTGGCACCGCCAGCATTGGGAGGAAGGAGATGTGATGTAAGAATGTGCTTTAATCTGATGGGCAAGCTTAGAATGACTGTTTGGGTGTTTGTGGGCAAGGCACTGTGGGTGGGGCAGGAGCCTGGGGCCTTGGAAAGCCCCAGATCAAAAAGTTATCTATTCCATTTGGCTTGCCACTGTCCCACCACGACCTGAAACTGAAGGGCACTCTTCAGGCTGAGTCCTCCCTGCCTCTCAGGAAATGCCATCCTGGGTGATCTGGTTCTAAGCTGGATGGGTTCTCGGTGCACTCGGCAGTGAAGAGGTCCTGCTCTCTGGTGCCGTGCTTCACACTTGTTCAGTAGGGATACAGGCGTGCCTTGATTCGTTGAGCTTTTCTCTATTGCGCATCAGAGATTCTCGCTCTTTCTTTCACACACACACACACACACACACACACACACACACACACTGAAGGTTTGTGGTAACCCTGCATTGAGCACATCTGTCAATGCCACTTCTCCAACAGTACATGCAGTTCATGTCTCTGTGTCATATGTTGGTCATTCTCATAATACCGCGATTGCTTTCATAATCCCCTGGCCCACATAATAGATTACAGGACAGTGCAAACCTCACTGTGAAATCAAAATAATCGTGTCGCTCTCTGTATCATGATATTTGCTGTACTAGGGTGGTCTGGAACTGAACCTACCATACTTTCGTGGTCAGCCTGCATACGGTCCTACTCAGTCGGCCTGCAGCACCTGGTGAGTGGCGGTCAGCTCCCCACCGGCTGCTCTAGCACCCTTGACATCCTTGACTATGTCCTGCCTCGGCGTCTGCTACATCATTCGTGGCACCCATTGCAAAATGAATTGCAGGGCTCTTTGTATAAATAGCAGAAATAAAGTGTGTGGTTAGTTTTTTTTTTAAAGGTCCAAAAATGATCCCTAATGATGCTATGGGTTAAGCATCGGGCTGCTAACCACAAGGCCGGTTAACCATAAGTTGCTCTGAGGTGAACAATGGGCTGTCTGCTTCTGTAAAGACCAGCAGTCTCCGAAAGCCTGAGGAGCAATTCTGTTCTGCCCTCTATGGCTGTGGTTTAAAGGTACTAAAATGTAGTGATTTCCTTTCTCTTGTGGGTACTTTTTCTGTTTCATGTGGCACCTCCTTGGGCGCAAGGATCCTCTTGAGAGAGGACAGACCCTTGTTGCACCCAGCAGCCTGTCCCATCCCTCGGCACCCATTTGCTCAGCCTGGCACACCCTGGACAAGGGCAGCAAGGGGGCCAAGCCAGCCATATCCTGCCCTTGAGCCAGCCATCCCAATCCATGAAGGACAGAGAGCCCTCGGAACCTGATCCCCTGTCAAGTGCCTGCTGAGGACAGCACTGCCTTGCCTTGTCCCAAGACAATAAATAGCATGCATGCCCAGCCCTGATGCTCTCTGTTTCCATGCTCGGCCACGAGGCAGGGCCTGGGGTGCTGATCAGAAGTCATGGGCAACCGCTCATGTGTTGACAGTGTATCTAACCCCGACCTTACAGTGTAAGCTCCATTGTCCCATGAGACCTTGCTATAAAACAAACATTAAAAATAAAATCATTATAAATGTCAAGACAGCGATGGCAGGGTTTTAAGCCTGCCCCCCCCAAAAAAAGTGTGTGCCCTTCTGAGCACCCACCCCTGTGTGATCCTTTCCAGGCTCCCTCCTGTTCCAGGGCCCTTGGGTATCTCTCAGCTCAGTATTCGCTCCCTCCTGCTTCTCTGATTTCCTCCCACTCACCCCTCGGATGCTCCTCAGGCATCACGTCGTCTGGGAAGCCCACTGGATATTAGGTTCCAGTCCCTCCCAGGATCGCACCCGTGTCCCAGCTTGCCCATCTGCACGTGTATTCCTGTCAGTGGTTTCTGCCCTCCAAGCAGAGCAGGGGCCAGATTTTTGTTATTCAACTTCAAGACACCTGGGAGTGTAGGCAACTAGTAGGCACTTGGCCAGTGTCAAATGAGTGATTTACTGAACAAACAGCCTGGTTGGATGGAGAGGGCGGTGCATCCCAGACTGTGGCCTGGAAGCATCAAAGGACCTCAAGCTTGGCGGTCACCTTGAGGACTGTCTGTGTTGGAGGGGGCATGCCAGGGGCTGGGTCAGAATATCAGGAAGAGCCTTGAACGTCAATGCCTGGCGAAGGAAGCAGACTGTATCCTGTACAAAGCAGGGTTCTATGGGGGCGTTCTTAGAGGTGGTATGAGACAGCTGTACCCCAAATGAAGTCCCTCGATGGTTAAGGCTGCTGACCAAAGGTCAGACATTCAAGGACCGCCAGAAGCGCTTCTGAAGAAAGGCTGGGGAGCTAGTTCTGAAAAGCCTGCCCTCGAGCCCCCTAGGGAGCACAATTCGATTCTGACCTGCGTAGGTCCACCGTGAGTCAAACAGGACTGGATGGCAAAGCCACGAGTTGGTGTAAGGACCCACCAAAGTAGGGTGAGACTTAGGGGCAGAAACGGACAGCATCATTGTCCAGGTGAGAGCAGCGAGGGGAGAGAGAGCGAGCACTTTCAGCAGCTGCTCCGCCGGCTGGTGTCTCTAACCCTAATCCCTTTCTCTGGCACAGCCTAGAAGGAGGAGCTTAAATATCACACGGCAGGCCGAGCTCCATTATATGCGATGATTGCATGTTCGTGGACTTCCTGGGCCTGAGGAGGGACAAGGACACACTAAGCCACACAGCTGCCTCTGAACCCCTCGGTTGCTACCATCTCTACTGAACGTGCCTTCCCAAATCCAGGCACCCAGTTTAGCTCGGAGTTAGAAACCCCTGTGCAGGATGAAACGAAACAGTAACATTGAAGCACTGATTGCAGACTGGGAAAGGAAGAGTGGACCGGGCCGGGAATGTAGGTGCCACTTATACTCGCATCCTTGCTTTGGAGTTCTGTCTCCGAGAGTGGAGGGCGCCCTGGGAGTTAAGATGCTGGGGCTAGAGTAGGAAGGAGCCCAGAGTTGAGTATCAGCTCACGCAAGCCAGCGCCCCTGCCGGTGGTGCCCGTGCCAAATGATTCATTCCACTGGACATGACAGGGGCCCTGGAGCAGGGGGACGTGCTGGCCAAGCGCAGACCATGGGCTAGGCCATGCTCTCGAGCGGTGTTGGAGCTGGGAAGCGTGTGCTGGATGTAGGTCCCACCTCCTGTCACTTCCCCCGGGGGGAGATGTCAACTGTGTAAATGGATTCGACCGGTTTTTAACATCTCGGTGCTGTCGTGGAAGCCTTGGAAAACAAGAGGAATTGGTCAAATGTCACTTCTGCCCTCAAGGAGTGTCCAGTCCGCCACTGGTAGAGGTTGGGGAATGTGCCTGTACGTGACTCATCAAGCAGGAACAACCACAATAACGGAAGTCATTATCTTAACAGAACATTGATAGGAGGCTCAGAGGAGGGCGAACGCAGCTGCCGTGGCGCCCAGGTTGGATCCCGGGCTCGCTGAGAGCACAGTGCATCCTCACTGGGCCTCTGGTTCCTCTCTCTGGTTGGCAACAGCGCAGAGGCTCTCGACCTTGGATGAGCATCGGCCCTACATTGAGAATGGTTTTCAAAGGCTGCTTTCACCTGATAACCTGTCTCCGTGAAGTCTTTCTGTGGGCCAGAGCGGGCCAGTGGGAGTCCCAGGCCATGCTGTGAGTTCCGGGGCATGCTCTCTGCTCTGTCCAAGCTTCCTTTGCCTTCTGACTCAGTTGCAGCTGCAGGTCCTCGCTTAGGCATGGGGACACCCTCGGGAGTCACACACAAGCAGG